GCCTCGCTAAGTATATCTCGGGCAGGAATGCAAAAAATAGATTAGAATATTCTCATCTCTGCCACTGTTTAAGGCGCTTGATTTCTGATTTCAAACGTTTCACCCAGGTTAGGTGTCACCGGCTGTTCTATCTAGCTTGGAGTTGTTATAGCTAGCTTTGTGGCCTTTCCCTCCTCAAACTGCCCCACCCAGCATCCGGTCCCACGGCAGCTTTGTGCCACGGCGTGCCAAAGGGGCTTCAAGCGCCACGTGGGAGACGCCTATGCTGCCAGTGTGTTCATGAGGGATGTCCACCAGTGGGTTCCAAACTGCCCCATCAATTAGGGAGCATCCTCCCACTTTCGTTCGACCAGGGGGATGGTAATCTTGAGGAATGACCAGGCAATGAGGAAAGTGGTCAACCACACAACAAGAAGGCACATATATTATTAAAGCCTCAAGTTCCAGCGACAATAGACAAACAATCAGTGCTTCAAAGAACTCCTAAGGACTTGAGGACCATCCATGTCGTTCCCCTCCCAGAAGACTGGTTTTGTCATTCCATTCGCCGTTACCCAAAACTCTGATGGGTTCTTTCAGCCTTCGGGAGGCGGGCGCCAAAGGCACCATTGACTCTGCCAGCCAGATAGGCAAACCCCAAAACATGGTTCCACGCAAGGCATTGGTTCTCGGAACATGGACAAAGCACGCAGGAACTTGGCTTCCATCCAAAATGTCGGTTCTCAGGAACATGGACAAAGCATGAGGCTGCTTGCGCATCTCATCAAGGCCTCTGTTCTCACAACTTTCCAAAAACAGCCTGGTGACTAGCCCGGTGACTGAGAATATCCAATGGGAAGGCCTTCGCCCGGCCTTCGAAATCGATTAGTGTGCCATCCAGGTCGAAGATGATGGCTTGCACCTCTGAAAAGCCCAGGCGGGTCACCCAGTCACGCACCAAGCCCCCTGCTCCAAGCACATAAAGACCGATGAATGGATGATGTTCTGTGGCAAACAAAGCGGGTCTTTCTGAAACGGTGGGTTCCAATTGGCCTCGCTTGAGGCCACCAAATCAGTATCAAGTACTGCAGTAAGTTAGGGCTTTGAGATGTCGCACGCCAAAAAAGCACAGTCTGTAGCTTGACAAGTTTTTGAAAACGTGTCTTGATATGTCTTGATTCATCATATCAATCGCTTAAATTGTTCCTCATGTTCCTCATGTTGCAGCGCAAGTGCTAAGCAAACATGCCTTCATTCATCGCACGAAATATATTCGACCAAATCCCACCACCGTCTGCTGCTACTACTGCTCCCAGCCACAAGAGCACCATATCAGCCACAAGAGCACGATATCAGCGACTCAATGCTGTTTGCCTCACTCTTTTCCCGCTCCCTGGCACCAGGCACCTTGCGCTTTGAGGGTGTCGCGCCCTTCTTCCTCGCCAAGCGTGGCCCCAGGATGGCTGCATTTCATGCTAGCAAAGGACCAACTAGTTATATGCATCGCTTGGCTGTTGGAAGGATTGGAACCTAGTGGAACCCCAAAAGCCTAACTGTATGCCCCTTCGCCCCTCCAATCAAGCATCTCCTCGAAACGTCCCCAAACAACCTTGGAAACCAAAGAACACATCGAGACCAGCGTCCTGCCGCGTGAGACCAAGCATAGCCTCAGGCAGCATTTACCATCATAAGCCAGATCGAACCCGGCTGGTGTTACACCATCTCGCGCAAACTGTGCAAATCCTCCAAAGCTACAATGAACGTCACTGCCTGAGCACTATGTTGCAGTAGCTTCCAGTTTTGTGTGGCATTTCTGTGGCCCTCCTTCTATAGAAATGTGCGGAATTTGCCTTACAACATATTTCGTGGACCAGCCCAGTAGTCCGGATAGTTGCGGAGTCTTCCCATTCCGCCAAAGTCACGCCAGCCCAGTCAAAGCCACACAAGAAGTCCATGCTGTCACCGTCATGGCGGCACAGGACCACGCATGGTCCGCAGTGGAAAGGGGAGAAAACTGGGGTAACTGGTGGGCCTTTGGGGGGTGCACAAGACTTCAAGAAATCAAACAGTTGACTTTCAAAGATCCAGAAACAAGCCGTGGCTGCCATGAAGGGGTCAGTGCTGACTGAACCGGCCAATGTTCCCAAACAAACTACAGCTAATGTCCTTTCATGGCTTGGTGGGGTCTGGAGACCATTAAAAATGGTTGAACATATACCGTATACGCATGTATACGCGTATAATGGATGTAGGATGACCGGCTGTGCGTCAGCCATCGTAACAAACATACACATACAAGATCATACAAGTCCTTGCGCTGCGATAGTGATCAAAGTTCTGGCTACTGAGCGGCTACTGTTGGTGTCCAGTTGTTTCCATGTGTTGCCGGTGCAGGGCTTCAGCGTGGTTCAAAGGAACTCTGAAGACCAGAGAGAGCCTCTTTGGCCAGTAAGTGAGTCGTGAATATCTTTGCCAGGGTTTCGTAAGCTGAAACGGCTGCAGCTTGGAGTCCGAGCGGTGCACAGTTTTCCCCGTGGCCCGGACCCTGAGTCTCCTAAATGATCATCGACCAGAAAACAACTGAGGTACTCCAAGTGACTCCAAGTGGTGTGGGCCGCGCAAGCCCCTACAGTACTCATGGAAAACAACAACCAAGCAAAGTCCAAAGTCAAAGTGGCTTCTGGCTCACTGGTGAAGAATTTCACCTGTATTCTCAATGCATCTCACTTCAGATGTAGAAGCAATTCCGGTAGAAGAATCTTCAAGGCATCAGTGTGCGCACACTTCACCCAAAGCCACGGCTTGCCTGAAAGTCCATTCCCCTCAAGGCGAGGTCAATTCTTCTCAGCCTCAAGGAAGCCCCGAAAAGTGGCTCAAGGAGTTTAAGGCTAGAGTGAGTGATCTCCCCAAAAGAGATAGAGAAGCTTTGCACAACATGCTTTTTCAGTGGATTCGTCGTATTTCTTCAAGTTAGAAGTGCATGGATCCAGATTTGTTGCATAAATGGCGTAGGCCCTTAGATGCCAAAGACTTCCACGGTTTCACTCAGCATCCTCCCCACTCGGACTCCCAGCAACTTCTTGTGAGGCCGCTCTGGCACGGCAGGGCGGGGGCCCTGCACACGCTCGCGGGGGCCCAAGTTGGTGCAGATGCTGTTCTCCTGCAACAGGACTGGGTGAGGCGAACCCGAAACGCAGCGCACCGGTGTTGAGGTGCGGGTCGATGGACTGGGAAGAACCGCTTTGTGGAGTCTTCCAGGTCACAGCAGAAAATGACAATTTTGAGTCCCTGACAGGGTTGCTGTGGTGAGGTCATCCATGGATATTCTACCAAAAGCGATGCAGCCTGCAAACTTGGGTGCACTTCTTTTCTCGCTGGCTTGTCTGTCGCTCTCTGCGTTTTCCGCTCGTTTCGCTAGTTTCGCCAGTAGTGGTTGGCCGGTTCACTCATCTTTCAGGGCCACTGCACCAACACCGAACCATCGCAGGACGAAGGGAAGGAGGGAGATGGTCGCACAGTAGACAGCGCCAAACTTGATCTTGAAGTAGAACTCCTCCAGGGAGACATGCTTTGAACACCACATTTTATGAATTGTTTGATGATGCTCACATGCGAGGGTATTTATGTATTGTGCGCATCGCTGTGTTGCACATTCCTGCAGGGTTTGAACACAAATGCAAAACAGCAACTATGGAAGAAAACGAGTGGGCCGCTCACCCTCTGACAGCTCTGACTCCTCCCAGGCTTTCTTGGCAGCATCCTGTTGCCCCCCCCAGCATCCACATGGTTGCTTCCAAATCGCTTTTGGATGCACAAGACCGTTGATGTCAGCTTCAGCCCAAATGGCTGCGAAATGCCCAGTCAGGTCACAAACAAGCAACGGTGGTCAGTCCGGCCCTGACCAGTGATGACTGAGCATGTTGGCAGCTCCCACTAGCTCCAACGAGTCTTACACTCAGAACAAACAAAACAATTGAATCAAATTCAAACAGTATCATGCAAGTATCATGCAATCCAGGACCTTCAAAGTGACCTCTTTGGAGTCTCCAAGCGACCTCTTTCGGGACTAAGTGACCTCATCATTAGAATATGCCATAATATGCGAAAATGGACTCCACGCAAAACCTCCAAGTCAAGGCATGGTGTGCGTTCAACTTGCTCACGAGCGGCCCCCCCTAGTGGGCAACTTGCCATAGAAAAGTCAGAACCCTGCACCCCTCCAGTGAAGAATCCAAATTGATCTTGCTTGCGTCGGCATCATCTGATCACAGTGCCCAAGTGCATTCTCAACCAGAAACCAGTTCTTCCCCAGGCCGTTCCTTCCAATGCCAAACAGCCAGCATCTTAGCGTCATCTTAGCATACTACATCATATTACATTGTTCCGGATGTAACTACTTCAATTCCAAGACAATTCCCCAATCTCCTGGCTGACTTTCACTTCTGAGCTGTCGATGTTGACGAAGAGCGTGTGTGGCTCGCAAATGGCCTCTGCACCTGTGGGTCAAGTCCATGGGAAGGCATGGAGGTGATCAGTGGGGGAGCTCGAGCCTACCCAATATGCTCAAATGCTCCCCTCACAGCTGATACAAACAATAATGACTTGTAATTACAACTGTCAGACTTTCAGCATCTTCAGTAACCGTTCTTCAGACATGGACACGGCACACAAGCCACAAAGCCACAAAAGGAAGTTTAAAATAGCTCGTTTGGAGGGCCTTCCTTCCGGCCGCCTTTTGGTTGCCACGGTTTTTTTGGTGCGGTGGTCTCCTGGGACGACTGGGCTCGGCCCCATCTTGCTCAACCTAAGTGCCTGGCGGTCCACCATCTCAGTCGCGATGCCCAAGACCTGAAGGTTTCTGCAAAAGCAACGGCTGCCAAAGGCACACTCACTGTCACTCCACCCCGCCAAAAATGGAAGATGGGCCTCTTTAAGTATAGTGGAAAGTTATAATTGACCGGTCTGCCAGGACTATGTCCTTTTTTCCGAGGGTTCGGTGATCCATGGTGCTCCCAACCACCTTAGGCCGTCTCTGGCCACTTCGGCACCCGGACGAAAGGCAATGGAGCTCCACAGAAATCCACCAAAGCGTTCGGCAAAAGGGGCACGTACACAGCCGCAGGCCTGCACGTGGTGTTGCTTGATGTGGGACCCCAGAAGTTGCATGCAAGGAAGGAGGGAGTAAGAAAACCACACAGGAACCAGCGAACTCGTCGGATGCTGTTTGGGAGGAAGACGTGGAACAACAGCGAATTCGAGAACGCCAAATGGACGGACATCTTCCGAGAACGCCAAATGGATGGCCACACCTCAAAGGCCAAATGAGACCCACCTGAGCAAAACAAAGAGACAACAATCGAACAGCACCCCCTTTATGGAAGCTAGTCTGCAAGCAACGGACAAGGTGTTCAGAAGTGTTTGGGGAAAAGGCCCCCATCCATTGCACGTCTTTCGGGGCTCAAGATGGTGTCAGAATGTGTCAGATATCTTTCTTGTGCGATAGCTGAGGTGTCCCCCCAAGTACTGAAACCGTTTAATACCTGCAGCAAAGGAACTTTCTCGAGAAAGGCACTTTCTCAAGTGCTGCACTGAGCAAACTTGGCTATCGTCATGTTTAGCAGTCTCCAATGGCTCCGAATGGGGCCCACACCAGGATTTCGCAGAAAGCACAAACCACTGAAAGGCCTTGGGAGCCCGGTGTGTCTGAGTTGGCCAGACGTGGGCAGTCTGAATCTTCTGACTCCAAAATAGTGTTTTATAGTGTGCAGTTTGTGAGTTTATATATGTGCTTCTCATCACCTACGAACGGTTGGTCCTATCTGGAGTGATGAGGACAACTCTTCAGTCAGAGGTTTCTGGACATGCTTGGGTTTCTGGACATAAGTGCTCACCTTCCAAGCAACCTGATCGCGCGGTCTGCAAGGAAGACATCCACACATCAGTTCAAGCTGTCCATCTACCGTAAATCATTGCAAATCCAAAACCATTCTAAAACCCTTCAAGCCACCAACACCCAGCTCGCTACTCAGCTCGCTATGGAACATGTCGCATCTCTTTTCCCGCTCCTCTTCGAACTCTATTCTATCCAGTTGGTCCTCGGCCCATGAGGTGGCGGTGCCTTGACGCTGCTGAATGCCAACGCGGTCACCGTGAACGCGTTCACCGGCCCTGCCGGCCGCGGCGCCGGGGGACCCTTCGCCTGGATCACCTGCAGCGCCTCCGGCAGCGACGACGGAGGCTTCGGCGCCACCGAGGCCACCGAGGCCACGGCCGGGCGCGGCATGGGCTTCGGCGGCGGCACGTGGCGTGGCACGGGGGCCACGGAGGCCTTGGGCTCGGAGGCTGGTGGCGGCACTTTGGAGGGCTCCGATGGGTCTTTGGAGGGCTCGGGTGGTTGTTTGCAGGGCTCGGGTGGTTGCTTGCAGGGCTCTGGTGGTTGCTTGGTGGGCTCGGGTTTGGGGGTCGCTGGTGGTTGCTTGGCGGGCTCGGATGGTTGCTTGGTGGGCTCGGATGGTTGTTTGGGGGTCGATGGTGGTGGTTTGATGGGCTCGGGTGGTGGTGCGGAGGGCTCCAGCGGTGGTTTGGAGGGCTCCGATATTTGCTCTAACGGCTCAGGGGGCTCGGCAGGCTTGGTGATTTTCAAGAGGTGTTCGGGAGGTGGCTGCTTGGGCGGCTGTGGTTGGTGATGCTCAGGTGGTGGGCGGCTGGGAGGCTGAGGAGAATGTTTGGGGCGGCCCAGCTGAACTTCCAAGAACGGAAGTAACAAGTTTTGGTCATGAAACACCAGGACCGTGGCTAAGGCATAGTAAGAATGAAGGATTCCACCCGGAAGGGCCAACCCCAAAAGCGGGAAGTCGGTATACTCTTCCAGCACCTCTCTCATTTGCTCCCTCACTTGCTTGGAGATGCCATCAGGGCCTCCCAAAACCAACAAGATCCGCTTCAACTTGGCCTCGCGCTCTGTGGTGACCGCTCTGGCTGCCGCCGTGAACTGCAGCTCCTTCCGTCCACCTTCCAAGATCACGGCCGCAAAGTGACCCCCCAGCCGGTTGGCTTGGGCGCGGTACCTCCGGCAACGCCGCCGGAGGTAAGCCACGAAGCTGTTCTCGTTGGGGCCTCCGTTGCTGATGTTCATGCCCGTGTTGGCCGCCCCCCGATGATAACCGTCCAAGATCCCACCGATCACGATGCGCTCCGTGAGGACCTTCCGGCGGTTCAGCGTGTTGTGCCGATGATACTGTGGCAGTCGGAACTCCACACAGCCCTGCGCACTCAACATCAGAAAATGCTTCACATAGCGCTTAAAGCCTGGGCCTTCTGAGGCACACATGCGTAGCGTGACTTGTGCATTCTCCATGCGCCCCTTCCAGCTGTCCACCAAGGCATCCGAGTTCCGGTCGATGCGTGGAAAGCCTCCAGGATTGCGCCCCAGGAAATCCCAACCCTGACCTTCCAATCCACAGCCCCAGTAGACGATCCCCATCTTCATGTGATTCCGTTCTGCCAGGCTCTTCGGTGACCCCGTCCCTGAGTCGAAGGAACTCTCGGACGCCACGCTGCGCGACCTCCGCCGCGGCGGCGTCCGCGGCCGCGCCGCCCGGCGGCGGCTCCAGCCGCGGCGCCGCGAACCGCTCCGGCGTCGACTGCGGC